AGCTGCGGTCAAGAGTCTTGCAAAAATATCTCAGCATCATTATGGTTGCAGAAGAGATTGTTTTGCGGATCCGAAGTGCAGAAATTATACTACTCCTGTATTATATCTGATTGTGGTTCGACACAAAACCAAACTGTCGTCAGAATTTGGAATTATTCTGAAACTTATATTGAATGTATTTCGGTATTTTCTATAACAGCTATTTTCACTCCACAACCACAAATCATCACAGCTTCTAGAAATGAAATAGCAACTAACTGTCGACCGAAAATTAAACTTTGTGTACCTTATGTCGTGCACGATAGTTGCTCTCTACCTACCAATTTCGTTAAGGCCCCACCAGTAGGCCATGAATATGGGAACGACGTGCAGGATGTTGCAAGACATTACGACAAATGGCTTCCATTTTTGAGCGTACAAATTCACCTATCAGAAAATGGCTACATTACGAAGTGGTACCGAAAGCCAAGTAGTAAAAACATCTTGGTTCATTACCTCTCCTCTTACCCCTCTCACACGAAAAGGGCGCTTATAAGAAACATGTTTCGAAGAGCAATCAACGTGTGCACGGGAAGAGAGCAGAGAGGAGTCCCGAAACCTGGCACGGCGAATAGCCATTTCTAATGGCTACGAAACTATACCTCAGGATAGGTGTAGGGAAAATGCTAGGCCTCAGAACAACATCTCTAGCGATAGAAAGGTCCCGTTTATCCTACCCTTCATCTCAAATGATATAAGTACAGCTATGAAACGCTGCTTAAGAAGGGAGGGCTTAAAGAATTCGGTAAGCATAGTTGAAATACCACCGAGTAATCTTAAGCGCCAGCTAGTTCGTAACCGCCTATATGACCGTCTATGTGCAACTCAAAATTGCATAATTTGCCCCAGTGGTAGAGACGGTGATTGCATGAGCTCGGGAGGAGTTTATCTGATCTCCTGCAAGGCGTGCGGAGACGAATACATTGGCAAAACGGGCAGACCCCTCCGTGTCCTCATGAAAGAACACCTAGCTGGCAAAGGTCAACCAAATACCCCACTAGGGACGCCTAGGACCCAGAGACATAACGGGGAGGACTCTGAAGTATGTGTCAATCCTCGCACACGAATCAAGAACACTATCGCGCAAAACTTTCGAAGCATTCTAGATTAATTTCAGAAATCCGAAAATGAACCGCAAGGAAGAATGCCTCATTGTCACGCGTGATATAGGGGAGTATATAAGACTGTTATTCTGATGGGAGGGGCACATTATGCTTCCGTGTGATTTTTGTGCTGTTGGTCTTCACGCGACATACTTAGTGGAAACCGCATAGAAAGCGGTGAGTGTGCAAAGTTGTGTTCAATGTGATTGAAATCTTGGTTTAAAGCTTCTTTGTTTGGTTATGGAGGCGTCTGGCCGAGTGAGTTGCTATCAAGTTGACCTTTCCAGGCTCTGAGGAAGGCGAAATTCGCCGAAACGTCAGCTTATTCGTGAATAAAGAATAATAACACCTCACGTTTGCCCAACAAAAATACGAAGAATTCCTTGCCATTGTGTTTATGTCTAAGATAGAAGCCCCTGTTCCCGATCTCCGGCCACTACTCTACTGTAGATATGTACATGATTGTTTTGTCGTCTTCTCTACACTGGTGGAGATGGACAAATGCCTTGAATTATTGAACGAGCAGTCTGAGTACATTAAGTTCATCCGGGAGAAACCGAAGAAAAACTGGCTTCCGCTTCTAAACGTTGAAATAAACCTATCAGGTAGCGGTTACATGACAAAGTGGGCGGTGCCGAAAACCAAGCAACAAAAACATCCTCGTTCATTTCCTTTCTTCCCACCCTTCACACACAGAGGGCGAATGTGAGAAACATGTTTCAAACAGCCACCTCTATGTGCACTACTAGGGAACTAAAGAGAGAATCGCGCGACTTGGTTGGGCAAATAGCCATCTCTAATGGCTACGAAGTAGTAATTCCACGAGATAAGTTTAGAAGGAAAACGACGCGCCCACGCGAAACACTTGGCCAAATGAAAGTCCCGTTCGTGTTGCCTTTTATAAGTGATGAAGTAAGCGCAACTATTAAACGATGCTTAAGAAGGGCACCTCTAGAGGAATAGGTAGCGATAGTTGAAATACAACCGGCTACTCTAAGTCGTCAGTTACTTCGTAACCGCCTTTACGACAGTCTGTGCGAAACACAAAGTTGCGTAATTTGCCCTTACGGAAGGGACGGTGATTGCATGAGTTCAGGTACGGTATACCTGATCTCTTGTAATAATTGCGGAGATGAATATACTGGCGAAACGGGCAGACCTTTGTGTATCCGTATAAAAGAACACCTAAATGGCAAACGAAAACTAGGACGAAGCACCCCACTAGGCATGCATAAGATACAAAAGCGCAGCGGAGACGATTTTGAAGTAAAAGTTAATAACCTTACACAGGAGACTAAAACACCAACGCGAAAACTTCCTGAAGCTTTTTGGGCAAATGCGAAAATCCCTACAATGAACAGGAGGGATGAATGCCCAGAGGTCATACGCGACCTGATCCCGTATGTTCGCATCAATTTCGATGTGGGATGGTGCAGTCGTCAACCACATGCGACTATAATCAGCTGTTCTAAACTTCCTCATTGGAAGTCACGAAAAGCGGTGAGTTTTTCGAGAAGTTGTTGATCATGCAAATTACCAGAGTTTTTCGTCTTTTTGTAAGTGTTATTGAAGCGTTTGCCCTTGCAGATTGTACATCAGAATACCCTTCCAGGCTCTGAAGAAGGCAATACTGCCGAAACGTCAGCTAGCGTTGTGTTGTATTGTGTTTCTCTATGAAACTAAATGTATGCTGTTTAACAACCTCGCGATTGCTGAACAAGAAAACGACGCATATTTTCCACCTTTGGTTTTATTAATCGTGGCTATCTTGTGGGATTTCAACTCCAAAATGCTTCTAAACGGGAAGAAAAGCTCTGAAAAACTCAGTGAAGGGGATTAGCATGGTGAAATTTGCTAAATATCAGCGTATATATATTTATTTGTATATATATATATATATCTATGTATGCATGTATATATATCGATTGAGTAGAACCTCTTCTATAACTCTACTGTTAACCTCTCTAGCCCCTAGCCAACGGAGAAAAAACGTCTCGGAACTGTCAAAAAAGCACCATTATTCATTGCTTTCAGTGTTTTAATCGCAAAAGTTCTTCGTTTTGTACAGTAAACATGGAATTAGGTGTTGTCCCACTGATCAGCCACGAAAATTTCACTTTGGCGCGACATGTAGTAAACAAGCTTGATATGTGTGTATCAGTCGAAATAGAAGCGACAAAAGCTAGTGGATAAAGCTTTGGCCACTTATGAATCATTGGGAGGTACGTCATGCGCTCAACTTCATCAAGTATCCATAGAGGTTATTGAATGCATTATCTGGCGTATACAATAACTCGCGGTGGTCTACCGATGTATCGACTCAGTTTTGGCGTTCTCGCAGACAGGTATGGCACCAATTTACTGAGCCCTGAGGAATGGAAAGCTTGGTGATCTCGGGTCGCGAGATCGTACCAGCGACAGCACATTACAGGGCACCTCCAATCATTCTGATACATACGCCACTAATGGGAATTGTGAGGTCCAAATATTCTCAAATATCATATATTTCGCATTAGTGAGTGAGACCACAAAAAATCAATAACAGATGGATCGCAAGCTATTTGCCACTTCGCTCTGCTATTGTTCTATACTTAGGTTGAGCACTCATTAACTTTGTTAAAGTGCTCGCTTTAATAACGCCAGTGTTGTTGTCGTCGCAACAAATGCATCGCTTTACCCTAGGAGAGCGCTCCTCAACTTCAGACTTAACGAGAGCGATTTGTAAGGAATCATGTATTAACTGGATCGAATTGTGTTTCACAACGTTTCTCGATAGAAAGCAATGAGGTTCGAATTTGTCGTTGGGAACGATCGTAATGAAAAAGCAGGAATTCGACAAAAATTATATGTTGATCAGGCGCGACGCTCCTCGCCTCGTAAATTACGATCCAATCCAGGTCGCCCATAGTGACTTTCACTTTCCTATCCGTTCATCTTACAAAATGTGGGGTACGATCCTCATCGCTGCTGCTCTTGCTGCTATCGAACTTCAAGCTGAAATTGACTATGTGAGTTCTTTTTCCAGAGAACTCTATTAAATCACAATTAAATCACAGAAGTTTCGTGAACGGATGATCTCGAAAGTAAAGAAAACTCTTTGAGCTTTTGAACTTCACAGGAGTCTATTTTCTTAAAACCATAATGAGAAGGAATTGTAATTTTGACGTTAAGAAACCGGATTAAGATCCACTAGAAACCACCGTATCAACCCGAATTCACTGCTTTCATTCATTTCTCACTTTCTCACGCTACATTCTGATTTATAATTTCCGTTTCTAAGGTAATAAAGCAAAGACAGTGCTTAACTTATTCTTAAGAAACGAGGACTAGTAATAGGCGACTGGAAGCCAGTGTTTTGTTGCTGCGTACGACCTCGCCACTGACCATAAAGAACTGGTTGGGCAAAATTGCTTGCTACTGGTTGGTCTTAATCAAAGTATCGCCGCTCATTTGAAATATGCAATGCTCTTCTAAGATCTGTCAACTAGGTTCATTTCAGGAAAAATTTTCGTAGCAAACATTCTGAGTTTTTAAGTTGTTCTCCTCTAAAGTCGTTTTATTCCATCCACTTACCAGTGAGGGAATGAAAAAAAATGCGATATCACTAAAACGCTTAGCGTTATTGTTTGTTTAGTCCTGATAGCGCTCTTTTTCGCTTAGCCAGCGAATAACCAATTAGGGAAACCGGTTGTCAGCCAGTTTTTTAGAAGAATGCTTTATTGATTCTGTGCAAAGACAGTGCTGAAGGTGAAGTGCACCGTATGCTCCACTTTCACAATATGATACAATCATTGAAAAACATGATCTATGAAAACAGAAGCACAAAGAGAAATGCCGAAATATTAGCGATTTCAGGCATTGGAATGCGATCCAGGTTATCGAGTGTCAACAATTCGCCGTACTAAGACGTACTATAATCTGCTTGGCTCGTTGGCAATTGAATGTGAACAGGTGTGTTTATGCTGGTGTGGTGGTAGTAGTTTTCGTCGAAATATCGCCTAGTCCGAGCCTACTTCATACCTTCGGCATCACTGACAACCTCTCCCCTTTCGCTTTAACGAATTTTCAAATAATACAGACACTTTGCGCGTTTGTTCAGACTTCATTAGCCCCCCCCCCCACACTTCATCAGGCCTTTCAATTTTTCAAATTATTCAAGAAGCTAGCGATTATATAGTACCAAGTAGCGAATTTGCAAGTAAAAGTTAAATATTAAAAGAAGAAGAGTTGCAAGAACTTGCCTAGGAAGAGGGAATTTTAAAAGAATTTCCTAATCGCCATTCAGATCGCTCACGCTGAGGACACTAGTTGCACTAAGCAACCCAGTATACCAAAATGTAACGGTCAGCTCGAAGGTGCAGTTTTATCTTTTCTTCGCATTTTCGTCTTCTTAAACCTTTGTTTATATGTGCTGTTATGTTCTTATTGATGCATGTACCAAGCCCTTTTAGGCTTTTGATTCGAATGCCTCATTAAGCCACTCTCATCTCTTTGTCACATGCAATAAATCGCTGGTCTTTGTGGACCGTAATGAAATTTGCGCCATTCCTCAAAATGTCTTCCTGGGAGATAGCTATTCATAACGGTTTAACAAGCCGAATCCGTGCGCTTGTATAGATTTATATAAGCAAAATGTTTCTCCTACGGTACATAATTGGGAAATTAAGAATGGGGACCGAAATGTTGTGGCACGGGTATCGCAGTGAAAGAGGTGCGGCTCAGTAGGCGCAAAACCCTTGTTTTGTCACTCGCCGTGACAATCGAGCCTACCATCCCTCTGGAATTGGGACATCGATATGAGAAATATCTGGGAAGAGCTCTCTGCGCTTCACAATTACTGACTACCGGTTGTCATGAAGATCAGGGAACTCTAGTAGAGCACAAAATGTGATGTCGCTTCATGTAAAGGAAAGCAGTTAGGATCTGTTCTTATTGACCAGTATACTCTTCAACCTAGAACAGTTGGACTTTCTCCTTTATAAGGGCTTCTCATTACTTCAGCTGTTCTTCACTATCACTTAAAAAATTAATTTTAAAGTGATCCATTAATAATGACATCTTGCTGTGCGATCATAGCTTTCCACGAACAATATTATTCGTTCCTTGGAAACTTTGCTTCATTCCCTTCCTTCGTTTAGCCTATGTCCGGCACTGCGCTCGTTTCTGACAGAGTCAACAAAACAGAAGGTGGGGCAAACTGTAGAAAACCTAGTTTGGTTTTTTCGTGGATCTAGAGAGAAAAATTTCCCTCAACCAGCAAATATTGATCAAATGGGAATTGTCGTACAATGAAGCAGCACGATACTTCATGTGGATGGGCTATCTACTTGTCAAGTAGTCTGCTGTTCTCTTTTTTAAATCAATCGCGAGGTTGTTATTCAGCACACGTTTAATTCCTCACAAATATAACACATACAACGCAACGGTAGTTGACGTTTTGGCAGTACCGCCTTCTTCAGAGCCTGGAAGGGTACACTAATATGCAATTTACTAGATCAATCAAGAATTTTTGATGTGGGGTGGTGGAGCAATCAACCATATGCGAATCTAAGCGGCTGCTCTTCCTTGGTGGAAAACGGTGGGTTTTTGAGAAGCCGGTGATCGTGTAATTACTGTTCAGATTCTCATTTTTCTGTGATTAGTGTACCCTTCCGGCTCTGAAAAAGGCTATACTGCCAAAGTGTCAGCTACCGTTGTGTTGTATGTGTTATATTTGTGAGGAATTAAACGTGTGCTAAATGACAACCTCGAAATTGCTGTAAAAAAGAGAACAACAGATTTATAATTCAATGCCGAGGTTAACAGAAAGTCGATCTTGGGAACTGTCAAGTAGTCGTTTTGTAGATTGCTATATTAAACAAGAAAAGGGTAAGATCTAACCTTTCCACATTTGCCTGAAACATTCTGGTCGCAACGAGGTAAGCGTTCTTGGAAGATTTTCTTCAGTTTAAGGGTGACTGTAACTACAAACTGTAAAGTAAACTAATCAAGCCTGAACTTGTTTTTCATCACTCAAATTGCGCTATATCCATTTCAATCTAGAAAATTCGAAAAAAAAGAGAGCTTGTTTGATTTAGGTTGCATGGCCAACACATGGCTTGGGGGTTTCCATGCGTATCTGCTCGAGAACTCCACGCAGGCAATTGTGTATGAACTACTTAGTCATATTTCTTTCTTAATTACGTGTGTTAAGACATTTCCTTAATTGCGTAGGCACCCCGGAAAATTCAGATTGGATCCTCTCTGTTGCTCTTCACCTCACGTCTATATCGAGCCTTTCTCCTGTATAAACGACCAGATCAACGCGGCCACCAAGGATTTCTCCCATTCGATTGTATCGGACTTAGTAGGTTCATTTATTAATTCGGAACTGTACGTGAAAACCGACAATATTTAATGAAAATGGTTGCTGACAAGCACGAAAATCACCATCAATTTTCAACCTTCTTCATTGTCCATTTTTGAAAAAATGACTGCATATATAATTGTATTGGGATAAGAACAATCCATTGCGTAGTCTCCAAGGCAGTTCGCCCTCTACTGGCTTTTGAACTTGAAAAATTACCGTATTGTCAGATTGGTGGAGGGAAAGTGGCGGTCTTCAAGATAGAGCCTCCGCTGACCGCACTACAACATGGTATCCATTTTTCGTCATTCAATTTCCGCTCAGTAGTGTGAATGTATGCTGAGCCTGAGGTGGAATCGGAATCCGCGTGTATTTTTGCCGTGAAAGTTATTAAATACAAAAAGCAAGGTTGTTTTCCACCTTATCGTCGCAATAGTTTTTGGCTCACAGTACAAGATGTTCTCCATAAATACCTATTATCCTCTGGTGCATAAAAAACTACCTCATCAGGTGTATCGTGGAGTTCAATGCTGGCATCAGTACAGCATCAATCATACGTTAGTCGATCTTCTATGGAAAGCGGAGATATGTAGATATCAATCCACAGAGTTTCCAGTTTTGCCTGCTGAGCGTAAGTGCGCTAAAACCTTTGACTCATTGTATTTTTTTATTTAGCCATAAGCGCGTGCACTCTCAACTTTCTGCCTGGGATAGAAATGATATATGTATATCCTACTATAGGCTTTGCAGAAATCTGTGAAGAATGTGCTTGTACGTGCGGTATCGAACAATGTGCAAATGGGGTGGAACCGATCCGGATCGTCCACAAAAGACGACTCGGAAAATGCGGATGCGATTGCAAATGTTTGTACAGATGTATCAAGTATAAATAATTCTTCATGCTATTTAGTTACAGCGCATTCTATTTTAATAAACGATGTGATTCCTGAAGGCGTGAGGATTTTTTGTTGTTCAATGTTATCATATACCATTCATTTTCTACGGCGCATAAATTGCCATTTCGAGAATCTCGAGCCGTTATGCAGGAAATTGCACCACAACTATTTTCAATCCGGCTTTCATTAAACCTCAGCAAAAGTAACCAGTACCTTCGTCAGTTACTAAGCAAATACGACGTCGACAAAAAGATTTATTCAGCCGACGACCCGACGTCTTCGTCTTGTATAGTGCACCGCAGAGTGAAGTTCTCCGTTCGAGCGATGCTCCCTCCAGTAGATTCCATTCGATGCGACAACGAACACCCACATCGCGGCAATTTTCATATTCTTCAGAGCCGATCATCTGTGGAACATCGACTGGGATCATTTCGGCTCTGAAGAATACGAAGACGTCAAAATGTTAGCCGAAGAAATGTTTTTATCAATCTCGTGTTTGTTTAATAATCGAAGAAGGTGCTTCATCAAAATAATCGTCGCTGTCGACTTATGGTGTCAAAAGTCTAACATCGGCGGTAAATACATAGCATTAATATCAACATGCCGTTATTTCAGCACCTTTCGAAGATGTTTGTTTAGTTTCAAATTGAGAAAAGGGATTAAGAAAAACCTTGAATGAATCTATTTCACCCGGGTAAACGTCACATATTGTGCCGAACCCAGCATTTCCTTCACTGAACTTGTTTCCTTGCACCCATCATGCACGTATGGCGCCTTATTTGCGTATGAATTCCGCTGCTGCTTGGCGATTTAGGACATTTTTACAAGTAGCATTGAATATCGATCTCCAGTCGAATTTCCTCGAAATCTTGGGACGGCCGTACTAGTGCAGTCCCACCTGTGCACTACAATCGCTAACCTTCGTGGATTGGAAGGAGCCATCCGGTCAATTATGATAGCAATTTCCCGACCCTAAAAAGATGCAAGGCCTAGTTCTCTTGTGCACTATCGAACCAGGGCTATATGCTTATTGGGAAGCGTCTCTGGCACTGAGCTACGAGCACCTTATTGAGACTTTTAAGCACAATAAAACAACTTTGACACGAAGAACATAATATATTCTGGGAGAAAAATACTATACCATCGGAACGCTAAAACTGGTAGTTAGTTGCCATTGGGATGGCAGAGTTGCTGATTCAGTTAGGATAGAGTGTTTGCTTGCCTGGTGCACGCGATCGAACTAAGGACTATTGTCCACTGCAAACGCCTCTAACCACTACGCTACTTCATTTTTCATAATGAATCGATGGTATGTTGTAGTCGAAATGCAAGTGCACTATTGTGCTACGAAAATTCATGTTGTAAGAACCGTATTTGAAATTCAGAATTCTTTTTGTGAAGCATAAATTTTTCCATAAAAGTAATTCTTCGTATTTTTGTTGAGCAAACGGGTGTTATTATTCTTTATTCACGAATAAGCTGACGTTTCGGCGGATTTCGCCTTCCTCAGAGCCTGGAAAGGTCAAGTTGATAGCAATCTATTCGGCCAGACACCACCATAACCAAACAAAGAAACTTTAAACCAAGATTTCAATTACATTGAACACAGCTTTGCAAACTCACCGCTTCCTATGAGGTTTCCACTCAGTATGTCACGTGGAGACCAACCGCACAGAAATCACGTGGAACTATAATGTATACTTCATTATACTCATTATACTTCACTATACTTTCAAGTGATTTCTGTGCGGTTGGTCTCTATGTGACATACTGAGTGGAAACCTCATAGAAATCGGCTCTGAGGAAGGCGAAATCCGCCGAAACGTCAGCTTATTCGTGAATAAAGAATAATAACACCTCGCGTTTGATCAACAAAAATACGAAGAATTACTTGATCAATGCCGAGGTTAATAGAAAGTCGGTCGTGGGAGTTACTGCAAGATTTTCCATAAAAATCGTGCTTGCTGATCATAGATCTTTTGTTTGCCGATTTCCAGAAAGAAAACTGCCCAAAAAGCTGTGAATGTGGTTACCGATGACCTGTACATAATATGGATACGAAAAAAAAATGTTATCATTTGAAAGATGTCACTGGTACAGCAATCATTCTTTGATAGACCCAAACTCGCTTAGGCTTAAATGCGGCAACCTTCCAAATGACACGAAGTGCATTTATTTTATTGAAACGGAACAAGCTCTATCGCACGTCTTCTATGTCACATCGCGGAAAGATGCACTCGGCTTCTTTTCAATCCTCTCCGCAGTTCTTCAACAAACTCACGGTATCTAAAAAAAGAGGCATTATAGGCAGATGAGAGAGTTCTCATTACTTTTCATGAACATGGGCGCGAATATGGTGGCCCCTCAAGCGTAATCACGGTTGGAACACTAGATTGCAATAGGAAGAGAAATCTTCGGAATTCCATGGGAAGATCAAAGTGGAGACCAGCACCGAGTTAGCATTGAGGTGCGGTGAGTTTTCGGAATTCTTATAAATAATTACTGCGTCGAACTATAGATCATCTTAATAAGACACTTGCGGGCATGGTAAGTCGCCATAAAGAGACATCCAAGATGGTTGACGGAGTTAAGCATGGCCCTACGACTGACTATGAGTTTGCTCTAAGAGTTTGGTGAGAGTCTTCAAGAGCGAGATATGCTGTTTTAATACCTAAATTGAGTTGTAACTTCTGTTTGTAGGTAATCATATCCATGAATTCTTACCTGAGTATGAGCTGTAATAGTACTTGCCTGTGTCCACCTATGTCTACTTCGAGAAAACCTACGACCACTACGACCCTCCCATAATTGATCAGAACAGTTTTCCGACGTTTTTTCTTAGAAAGTACTCAATTTTCAGTCGAGCCCACGATCTATCATTATGCAGATTATATTGTAGATTGAAGCAAACTTGTGGTCAGAAAATACCGCAGCGAAGACTTAAACCGCTATTGCTAAAATAATTTCGCCTCGGCTTGGCTGGAAGGTGAACCTGGGTGTCGGGCTACGATGAACAGCGGGTGAATTCATTCCCCAGCAGGGTCTCCCAAGGTGAAAAAAAATTCAGCGTTTCTTTCAGGAAGCCCGGTTAGGAGCAAACCAATACCAGGATCCGTCACCGTCCTGGTATCAAAATTGTCGCTTGGCGGCAAATCTCCATCTGGCCCACAAGGGTCGCGACTGCCTGTGGTGGTGACCACCTGAGACAAGCTTTGGCCAAACTGTCTTCGATACTTCAGGGAACCACAATGAGTAAACCAGCAACTCTCCGGAAAATGGAAATTATGTTGGAAACCACACAACTAGTGAAGATGGACCAAACAAGCATCCAAGTAAATGTTAATTTATTCTGTGTGACGAAAAGTGGTAAAAAGCGGTTGCATGAAATGTGATTAATTTGGGTAAGATGTGCTAGAAATTGAACCTGCCAACGTGTGGACATAAAATATTTTTACGCCGTTCTAGCAACTTTTTTCTGGGATTACAAATTTGCTTACCACACAGAGACATTCTGATCGTGCTCGTCGAATTATGAACGTTCCGTTGCCGATTGGAGTGGCAACAGTGGTGAGACGTGGAAAGGCGCTACGGCAGTCACGAAGCGCACACTGAATTTGTTTCAGTTCTCGTGTTCGTTGACTCTCAGCTTGAAGAAAATGCATGTAATTCTTAAAATCTACCTTTCCGATAACAAAAGACAAAAGATAAAAAAGAGAATAAAAGATAAGATGGTAAAATTCGGATTAATTCGAAAAAACCGTCGTCTACACGCCCTGATATTCTGAAGATTGTCGATTTTTAATTAAACTCCAAAGATCAAAAAGAATTTTTCCTCTTCTAAGAAACAGAAACACCAACATCTTTTTTTAATTTTGGCGAAATATTGACAGAGTTTTAGTAGTTTTCCTTACCTGGAAGAGCAGTTTTGAGTCGTTGTTTTGTAATGCGCTCAGAAGACACTGGTAGGAATGCAAACGCTCATGTGACCGTACACAATGCTAGCACTGAGAAGCAATAGATTCAAAAGGCGAACTCTTCATTTCCGCTGCATCGGATGAGACTACACTTAATCATAGTGACGTAGTTTACCTAGTGTGGCTGCATCTATACGATATTCTACTCACAAATTTGTGTAAAAGTATATGCTGAGTGTATATGACATGGTGTGGAACGAATCGAACAAAAAGACATCATGCTTCCTTTGAACATTACCTTTACTTAACTGAGTACCTAAACAATTGATGGTGTGATCGAAAGAAATCTAGCCCATCGTCATCGAAACGACTACGGCGAAAAAACCAATCAAGACCATTAGTGATAAGCCTCATTTCCGGATGAAGAACGTGAGTATGTGGTTGGAAGGTATAATAATGCAATCGGGCACATTCTAATCGAATCGTTGACTGAGTGATTTTGCAACTTTTTCAACAGCAAACTGGATAAGCACGTTCACACTTCCCATTATGACGAAAGCACAGAAGACGTAAAATTTGAAAAATAAATTGTCACGTTTACCACAAATTTGCTTTACTTTAAGAGCCAGTTCTTGAAAGGCTCCCTTATCGAAATTTCGGATAAATGGTGCGATTAGCAATTGCCTCATTCAACGCAGTAATACCGATATTTATGTTAAGACTTTGAAGGTAATAAAAGATATTTCTGCCTCCAAAAGCTTTCCAGCACTGTTAAGAAGCCCTCTAGAGCTGTGCAGGCCGCTGGTAACTATTAACTTAAGCCAGAGCCTACAGATTCGTGAAGAGACGCGATTGAAGAGTGCCTTAACGAAAGAAAGCAGCAGTGCTAACTGAACCAACACAAACTTGGAAGAGCATGCTAACAATTAGATAAGTAAGATGGCTGACATCTAACGTTCAGAAGAAACAGTGACTTCATCCAGCACGTCTGTGAAAAAACATATGCACGTCCAACCGAACCTCTTAAACACCTTTCCTATCTGCCTTTGCACCGTTTTACGAAAATGGCGACTCAGCAGTTCC